CCCCCGCCCCGGCCCAGGAGCCTGGGCCTGGGAAGAAATGGCTCCAGCAGCAGCCTGCTCGCCCTGCTCACTGGCCCCTCTCTTTGAAGGTACACTCACTTTGCACTAGATGGGTACGTATGGAAAAAACAATGTGTTGGAGGACTGCCACAGTTGTCTAGTTCCAAAATGCTGACACCATCCCCAAAAGAAGCCCCGGTACCGGGCAGGTAGTTCCTCGCCCCTCCTCTCCCTCCAACACTCCCTTTCCTTCCCCATCCCTAGACCCCAGGCAGCCATTAACCTACTTCACATGCACAGAGGTTTGCCTGTTGTGGAGACTTCCTAGAGATAGAATCATGCAATAGATAGGTGGCCTTTTGTGTCTGCATGCTTTCACTTGGCATAATGTTCTCACTATGGTTCCTCCAAACATTAGCATGAATCAGCACTTCGTTCCTTTTCCTAGCTAAATAATATTCTATAGTATCACTAGACCACATGTTGTGCATCTATCTGCTCATCAGTTGATGGATGTTTGAGTGATTTCCACCTTTTGGCGGTTGTGAATAATCCTAAGGTGAGCATTTCTCTACAGGGATCTGTTTGAACACCCTTGAATAGATTTATACATTTTCTTCTGGACTCTTAATTTTATTCATTGATCTATGTGTCTGTCCTTAAGCTAGCATCGCATAGTTTTGAAAACTGCAGTTTTATACTAAGTTTTAAAGTAGGGAAGTGTGAGTCCTCCAACTTTTTTCCTTTTTCAAGATTATTTTGCCTATTCGAAGCCCCTTGAATTCCATATGAATTTAGGACTGGCTTTTAGATTTCTACAAAACAAATTACTGGGATTTTTATAGGGATTACATTGAATCTGCAGGTAATTTAGTGTAGTATTGCCACCTTAGCAATCTTAAGACTTCCAACCCGTGAATGCTGATAGCTGTCCATTTTTTAGGTCATTTTTAGTTTCTTTTAGCAATGCTTTACAGTTTTCAGTGCACGAGTCTTGCATCTCCTTAGCTAAATTTATTCTTATGTGTATTTTTCCTTTGATGCTACTTTACACAGAATTATTAAATTCATTTTGGATTTTTCGTTGCTAGTATTTAGGAGTACAACTGATTTTTGTATGTTGATCTTGTCCCCTGCAACTTTGTTTAATTCATTGATTAACTCTAATAGTGTTTTGTGGATTCTTTAAGGATTTCTAAAATATAATGTGTCATCTGAGAATAGAGATAGTTTTACTTCTTTTCCAATTTGGATGTCTTTTATTTCTTTTTCTTGCCTTCTTGTTCTGGCTAGGACTTCCATTACAATCTTGAATAGAAGCAGTTAAAGCAAATGTTCTTGTCTTGTTCCTGCTGTTAAGGGAAAGGTTTTCAGTCTTCCCCCATCGAGTGTGACATTAGCTATAGGAATTTCCTAAATGCTCTTTTTTACGTTGAGGAATTTCCCTTCTATTCCTACTTTTCTGGGTGGTTTTTATTAGGAAAGGTTGTTGGATATTGTGTAGTGCTTTTTCTGCATCAGCTGAGACGATCGTGTGGGTTTTTTCTCCTTCATGTTATTAATGTGCTATTGATTAATCAACTTTCTTATGTCGAACCATCCTTGAATTCCTGGAATAATTCCCACCTGGACATGGAATGTAAATTTATAGTATACTGCTGGATTCAGTTTGCTAAAATTCTTAGGAGGATTTTTGCATCCATATTGGTCTGTAATTTTTTTTCTTGTGGTATATATGTCTGAATTTGGTATCAAGGTAATACTGGTCTTGTAGTGTAAATTAGGAAGTTTGTCTTCCTTTTCTAGCTTTTGGAAGAGTTCAAGAAGGATTGGCATTAATCTTTCTTTAAACATTTAGTAGAATTCATCAGTGAAGCCACCTAGCACAGTTCCTGGCACATAATACATGGAATCTAGAATTTGTGTAGCCATTAGCTATTTGTTGAATTAATACATTGTCTCCCTAAAAAGGTTTCTAATTAAGACACAAGAATTGAATAAAAAAGTGGAGCAGATATATTTATCAAAACTAATGCTATGACTTCTGGGACAATGCTATAAATTTACTAATATTTTTATCCCATAGGAATAAAAATTGTTACATGGCAGAATTTTTTTAATTCCCATAATACTGTAACTCTGATTATGTAACAGACTTACACTGATTCCTATTTTAGAGTATTCAAGCAAATACAGAATACCAGATATTTTATGAGAGATGGTTTTCAACTTTTGTATACTATATGCCATGTTTTAACTGTAGGCATTGAATTGGCAATACTACCACATTTCTCAAACTGTATCCCTTTTCCTTTAAATGATGTACTTTTCTCTAGGATCTAGACATGTCAACGTTCTAAAACTCACATTTTTTTTTGGATATTAACATGTTTCTCATGAATTCAACACAGGGAATCACTAATTAAAGTCCCACAGTTCACATACACACACACACACACACACAGCCCCTATTCTTGGAAGGTCACTCCAAGTGCCAACCCCTAGTCCTCTTTCACAGCTAACCCTGCCCTAAAATAGTGCTTCTCAAACTCCACGTTCTGATTTGGTAGATCTGGAATAGGGCCCAAGATACTACAGCTCTAATTGCTCCCAGGTGATGCTGCTACTGCTCTGTGGCCTACAGTGGATTAGCAAAGCCCTAAATGGCTTGCTCAAAGTTAGTGAGCCTTTTACAGGACCTCAAAATAGACTACTTCATCTGCCCAGACCTGATCTCTCTTATTCCATTCTTCTTCTTGGTGTTTTTCTCCTTCATGTACTCTTATCTTAACATCCATCTTGCTAGAATGGTTTTGAGTGTTGAGTGCTTTTGAGAAATGCACAAAGCAAAATTAGAAGGACGTTATGATTGGAAAGAATTGCTCTTTGTCTTCGCTTTCCACGCATCTGTGCTAATCCCTCCCTATAGGTCTTCTTTGGCAACGTGGACTCATCTGGGATAAAACACAATGTTTTTAACCCTCCAATTATTGCTCGGTACATCCGTTTGCACCCAACACACTACAGTATCCGCAGTACTCTTCGCATGGAGTTGATGGGCTGTGATTTAAACAGTAAGTGCCAAGTCATCTCATATCCTTCCTCCTCCCAACCATGAGTAGGATAATTAACCATCCTAGTTCTCCCGAGACTGAAAGGATTTCTCAGGACACAGAACTATTAATGCTAAAATCAGCACAGTGCTGGACAAACCCAGGACTTTGTTATTCCCCAAGGGCAGGCACCTCCTACACTACTATTAACAAGGCAAATCAATGTCAAACAAAGCTGAACAGAGCTGACCCTAAGACAGGGAGTATGTTAACAATAACAGATTCTGTGCAAAAGTTGATGCCCGGGAAGTAACATCGTGATGACAGTAGCCCTAGAGTATCAGCGATTACATTTTCCTTTCATTTCTTTGAGGTTGCAGCATCCCACTGGGAATGGAGAATAAAGCAATATCAGATGCACAGATTACTGCCTCATCCTACTTAAACAATATGTTTGCCACCTGGTCTCCTTCACAAGCCCGACTTCACCTCCAGGGGAGGACTAATGCCTGGAGACCCCAGGTAAGAGGCAACAAATTTGCCACTTAACTGATGTGGAGTGGGGAGTAGTGTTTGGGGAAGAATAAGGGAAGCCCTTGACTGTTTCTTCAGAGGTAATTCTGTCACTTGGTTGTTCCCAAAGAGTGTCAAGGAAGGTTGACCATGGGCAGAAAAACCCACAGATATTTAGTAGTGCCACGTGATCGCACACAGCATTCATTGGGGAAATAATCCCTAATTGAACCTCCTGGAACAATCTTGATATTCAGTACTGAGCTAATATCTGTCAAAGAATTGTAGTAGCTGAAGTCCAGTCTTAGAGAAATGTCAATAATTAGCCCTCTTTGCAGGTTTCTCAGTTCCTCAAAGGAAAGGGTCACAGTCATGTACTGAACAATTTGGGGATGAATGGAGTTAAAATGCTCTGTGCTCCTCCAGGGTCTTCATTTGAACAAAATAGGTAGTATAACATATTATCAGACTTTTGATACTCTAGTCAATCTATATACGGCTCATATATTAATTCAGTAAACATTACTGGGCACCCATTAAATAGCTGACCCTGAAAAATGTCAACCCTCGAGTTCCCTAGAGTCTAAAAAGGGAGACTGACAAGCAGACAATTAAAATTCAGAGTGTAAGTGTTGTGATATGGTTAAAAAGAAGGGATTTGGGAATTTCTTGAAGCAAATAGTGATCAACAGGATACTAGTCTAACTAACTTCCTCAGGTGAATAACCCAGAAGAGTGGCTGCAAGTGGACTTCCAGAAGACAATGAAAGTTACAGGAATAGCCACCCAGGGAGTGAAATCTCTCCTTACCAGCATGTATGTGAAGGAGTTCCTCATCTCCAGTAGTCAAGATGGCCAGAACTGGACTCTGTTTCTTCAGAATGGCAAAGTAAAGGTATGCTGATCTCATAGGAAAGGCACAAGACCTCTCCTAGAGCTTGACATTTAGAAACATAGCAAGGTCGATATACGACCAAACTTTCAGGGTAAACTTCTCTAAGAATCTATAGTAATAGGTCATTATGAAAGGCATTCTGGGAGGACACAGTGACTCTAAGCAAGGACGGATAATCACCAGGAAAGGGCAGAGTAGAGCCAAAAGTTGATTGTCCTCACGAATGTTGGTGTCATCAAGGATTATGATGACACCAGAATCAGAGGGATAAAGAAGAATGAGTTGTCGCCAAACGCTTAATGGTGTCCGAACCCTTATCAACAACTTAGATTCCCAGGCTTCACTGACCTTTAACTTTAGCGATCCACACAATCTTCCTTCTTGATGTTGGTTTGCTAGATAACTCAACAAATTATGCTAATTAGAGGAGATGACAGAAAGTCTTGCTACCTCATGAGTTATGAGAGAATGAATACTTCATCTCTATGGTCTCGTTTATTTTCTTTTTCACCAAAAATGATGTGACCCTTGCCAGTCTCTCTAGTATAGTTCCTTGTCACTTGCTCCTTCGCTAAGTTCCACCCACACTAAGAAACTCTCAGTTCCCTAAAAACAGCATGTTCTTTCTCACGACAGGCTTTTATATACACTGTTTCTTCTTCCTAGAACAGTTCTGCTGGGTACTTCCCACTGACCCTTTCACCTGGCTCATCCTTCAGGAGAAATTAGGCCAGAAAAAAAATAAAAGACATCCAAATTGGGAATAAAGACGTAAAACTATCTCTCTCTGACAATGATATAATTTTATATGTAGAAAATCCTAATGAATCCACAGGAAAACTATTAGAGCTAATAAATGAATTCAGCAAAGTTGCAGGATACATGATCCACACACACACAAAAAAATAGTTGTCTCTATATACTAGTAATGGAAACTCTGAAAAGGAAATTAAGAAAACAATTTCATTTACAATAGCACAGAAAAAAATAAAATTTCTGGGGCTAAATTTAATCAAGGAGGTGTGAGGCTTATACACTGAAAACTACAAAACATAGCTGAAAAACTTAAAGGTGACCTAAAAAAATAGAAAGATATTTTGGGTTCACAGATTGGAAGACTTAATATTGTTGAGATGGCAATACTATTCAAAGTTATCTACAGATTCAGTACAATCCCTATCAAAATCCCAAGGGACATTTGTGTAGAAATGGATGGGCTGATCTTAAAACTCATGTGGAATTACAAGGGACCTGGAATAGCCAAAACAACCTTGAAAAAGAACAAAGTTGGAGAACTCACACATCCCGATTTCAAAACTCACCACAAAGCTACAGTCCTCAAAACTGTGTGTTATTGACATAAAGATAGATCAGTGAAATATAACTGAAGTCCATAACTGAAATATAACTGAAATATAACTGAAATATAACTAAAGATAGATCAGTGAAATATAACTGAAATAAACCTATATGTCTTCTGTGGTAAACTGATTTTCAATAAGGGTGCCAAGACCACTCCATGGGAAAAGAATAGTCTCTTCGACCAATAGTGCTGGAAAACTGGATATCTACATGCAAAAGAATTAAGTTACTACATAGCATACTCACACACAAAAATTCAAAATGGATCAAGTACCTAAATATAAGGGCTAAAACAATAAAACTCTTAGCAGAAAACATAGGGGTATATATTGATTACCTTGGATTTGACAATGCTTTCTTAGATGTGACACCATAATCACAAGCAATAAAAGAAAAATAGATATAGTAGACTTCAGAAAACTTTTTGTATATCAAAGGACACTATCAAGAAATTGAAAAGACAACCCGCTGTATGAGAGAAAATATTTGCCAGTCTTATGTTTGATAAAGGGTCTAGTATCTAGGATATGAGAACTCAAAATTCAACAACAAAACAATGACCAAATTTAAAAATAGGCAAAGGACTTCAATAGGTATTTCTCCAAAGAAGATATACAAATGGCCAACAAACACATGAACATCAACATCACTAGTCATTAGGAAAATGCGAATCAAAACCATAATGAGATATCACTTCACACCCACTAGGACGGCTATATTTTTTTGTAAATACAGAAAATAAAAAGTCTTAGCAAAGATATACAAAAATTGGAACCCACATTCCTGATAGGAAGGTGAGACGGGGCAGCCACTTTAAGAAACATCTTGGTGATTCCTCAATAAGGTAAACATGGAATTACCAAATGATCTAGCAATTCCACTGCTGGGAAGGTACCCAAAAGAAGTGAAAATAAGCAATTAACGAAAAGTTGTACATGAATGCTCATAGCAGCATTGTTCATAATAGCCAACAGGTGAAAATGACCCAAATGAGCATCAACTGATGGATCAACAAAATTCGGTCCATCCATACAATGGAATGTTATTCAGCCATAAAAAGATGAAAGTACTGATACATGCTGCAGCGTGGATAAAACTAACATCTATGGATAAACATCTATTAATGAAAAACTAACAAAAGCATGCTAAGTAAGAGAAGCCAGACATAAAAGGCCACATGTTGTAGAAGGCTTCCCTTTGGGATTGAAAATAAGAAAAGGATGCCCACTGTGCCAGTTTGGTATTGCTGCGTAACAGACTTCCCCAGAACTTGGTCACAGTTTTGCGGATCGGGAATTTAGGGTGATCACAGACTGGTTTGTCTGTGATCTATGTGGCATCAGTGGGGACAGATGGATAGATCTACTCCCTAGATAGCTTGAAAGTCTGCGGGCCTACAGGCGGCAGATTTGGAAAGTCACTACTTTTGGTGAAGGGGGATACACATATTGGAGGCTTGGCGATGAACCAAAAAAAAAAAGTCACGTGGTGGAAATTAAGTAAAAGCAAAAACAAATCATAAAATCACAAGAAACAAAACTCTTCCAGCACTCTGCCACCACCATTGAGCAGATTCGACTCAGTCGTTCGTGTGCCTTGCTCCACCTCGTCTGGAACCAGGTCTGACAAGCCCAATACGACTGAGATTGAAAAATTCGATAAGTCGAAATTGAAGAAGAAAGAAACGCCAGAGAAAACTCCACTGCCTTCAAAAGAAACAAACAGGAGAAGCAAGCAGGTGGATCATAAGGAGGTACGCACCGCCAATAGGCACTGTACATTCCACAAGCCGTACCTTCTTATTTTCCTTCTTTTAGCTATTTAATCTTGTAAGATGCAAAGAGGTTGATCAAGTTTAAATGACTGTGCTGCCCTTTTCACATCAAAGAACTACTGACAACGAAGGCCGTACCTGCCTCTCCCACCTGCCTGTCTGGCTGGCAGAGAAGGAAAAGAACTTGCATGTTGGTGAAGGCAGAAGCTGGGTGGGACGACAGTGAAATCTAGAGTAAAAATCAAGCTGCTCCAAGGTGTCCTGCAGGCTGGAAAATGCAGTTTAATCAGACTGTCATTTTTAATGATGCACTTTATCGTGCATAAAATTACGCACAACTTTATTGTTCATAAAATTATGCACAATTTTGAAATATGCAAATAAAAAGTATTAAAACCCGAAAGAAAAAAAAAAAAACCTTTTCCTGTCCCATCTGTTAAAGAAATTGCACTTCACTTTATCAACAGTAGAGGGTACTCCTGGACTAAGAAACCTAATTAGCCACCCAAAGCTCTTACTTCCTCCTACATAGAATCACTTCTTATTGCTAGAACAAGAAAATATAAGGAATTTCTAAATGAACATAAAATGGCAGATGAGATAAAAGGTATTATTGTTCTTGATTTTTCACTCCCTCCTTCCTTGAAAACACCATTGACTTTGGGCCTAGCAACAGCACTCATTTGGACTAATGGAATTTAAGTAGACATAGCATTCACCTCTTCCAAACAGAAGGTTAAACACGATTGTGTGTTTGGCTCAGTTTCTTTGCCCCTGCCTTCAGCCATGATATAAAAATGTAGAAGAAATGAAAAAATGAGGAAATCAGCTTGCAACTCTCGATATACTATTTAATTGATTGTAAGGAATTTCAATGGATGCTTAAGCCAATGGATGAAAGTTTGATGGGGGACAGTATATTGACATGGTCTTAAATTGTCACTCCACGATTATTTGTTAGGAAGGGGAAATGGTGACCTTTATACAGAGAAATCTGGTGAACACCACCTTAACCGAGTGATCAAACTTTGCATCATGAGTAATAGGACAAACTGGCATCACGTGTCCCCTGATGTGATATGATAGGAAGGACACATCACCTACTAAAAACATTTAACCAAAATCTAATAATGAAAAAACAGTCACACAAAATTAGAATGTGGGACATGCGACAACGCAATGGTCCTGGACTTTTAAAAACGTCAATGTCGTGAAAGACAAAAAATGACCAGAGAGTTGGAGTCTGTTCTAGAGTAAAGGAGACTCAAAGAGATATAATAAATACAGCATGTGATCTTTTATTAAATTCTGGATTGGAAAAACTGTATAAAGGGTATCGTTGTGATATCAATATTATATTTGTTAGGTATAATAATGTTATTCTGTGGTTGGTTATGTAGAAGAATGACCCTATTTTTAGCTTTGGCACACTGAAGTATTTGGGAGTAAATGACATGATGTTTACAACTTCCTTTCAAGTAGTTGAGAGAGAGAGAGAGAGAGAGAAAGAGAGAGAGAGAGCACGTGTATGTAGAAAGTAAATATCTCAATATGTTAACAATTAATGAATCTAGTTGAATGGCTTAAGTTCATTGTATTGTTCTTTCAATTTCTTGAGTTTGATAATAGTTCAAAATAAAAACTTGAGGGAAAATAACAAGGAATAAGTCTCACAGATGTGCAAGCCTCCAAATAAACGATCAACAGTTGTCAAAGAATCACAGAACAGTGACCTTAATGTTTCTCCAACATTTTCCCAAACTTTAACAAATGTTTATAGTATATGTGTCATGTATAATACATTGTGCTATATATGCTGCGCATGGAAGACAGATCAGTGACCAAGGTGTCTGTTCTCATGGAGCTGACATTTGGCGAGGAAAGCGGAGGGAGCAATAACCCTGTAAGCAGATAAACGAGAAGATGTTGAACGCTATGAGGAAAAAGAACAAGTTGAGATTTAGAGTCAACAAATGTCCTATTTTAGATGGTGTCGATCTCTCTAAAAGGATGACATTTAAACTGAGACCCCAAAGGATAAAAAAAAGGGGTAACAGAAGAGGTAAGAGCATTCTAAACAGAAAGAACCACATTCTAAACAGAAAGGCTCTTGTGATAAAATGGGTTAGCGATATCCAGGAACCCAAGACAAAGAACACTCTTAACTCTCCACGTCACACCCACTTTCCCTGGCCATGTTGGGGAAACGTCATTTTTTTTTCCTGTCAGACAACTCATAAGCGATATTTTTCCTCTTTCAGGTTTTTCAGGGAAATCAAGACTCCTCCACACCCGTGGTGAACTCTCTAGACCCACCGCTACTGACTCGCTACCTTAGAATTCACCCGCAGAGCTGGGGGCACCAGATCGCCCTGAGGCTGGAGGTTCTGGGCTGCGAGGCACAGCAGTTGTACTGGCATGATGGGAAATAAAGTATGAGACCTTTGGCATTTTCAAGGGAATAGTTTTGAGACCTTCATAAATTCTCCTAACCCAATAAAACCCTATAACATAGAATTTCCTCCATAAAAGGTAATAAAATACAATTGTTTCTATGATATATGATCTTACAGAATTGTCTTAAGTGCCCTCCCAGCCCTGTTAACATGGTACCACTAAGATAACCAACCACCCCAGTTTGGCCTGGACTGTCCCAGTTTTAGCAAAGCCCTTGCCAATCCCCTTGCCCCTGCCTCCTGGGCCCAGGCCATTCCCTCACTCCAGTCCAGCATCCCTCGCAGACTTGCCTTCTACCTCTGAGCCTGGCCTCTGGGTTACTTCCTGCCCTGCCCTGCCCTGCCCTGCCTATGGCACCATCGGTTTATATGGTCCAAGCAGACGCTGCTCCGAAGCCTCCCAAATTAATCGTCATTAATCCTGCATTTTCTGGGAGCGTTACAGCCTGTTTAACTCTTGAGCATTTGCTGTGGCTGCTCCCCGATTGCTCGTCCCTTCCAGTGTGATTAGGCAAGGAAAAATGAGGAAACCCATCTGGAAAGCATTCTCTTCCTGACAAATTAGGTCTCTCACACAGCCGCCACTTCCTCCTCTGTGGAAAAACAATGTGTTTAAAGTTGGCAGAAGATATTCATGATGTAAGCATTTCAGATTAGGGTTTATACACTTAAAATAAAACTCGCTTTTTTTTTTTTTTTAATTATCCTGGTCGAGCATGGAACAAAACACAGCCTTAAAGTAAAAGGCAAGTCATTTTTGACAATCTGCAAAATAGAGATAATATAAGAACCACTACATTAAAGTTTATTTTTGCCTCCTTAAAGATAGATGTAATTATCGTATTTTGTCATCTTGGGGCATTGTTAGTGGTACATTCTTATCACAAAAACTAGTGGTCTTAAGCTGAGGCTCGTAGATGGGATTCAAGAGCCCACAAATCCGCTGAATAAGACACAGCATTATGAATGCATATGTGCATTTATCTGGCAGAAGTGTCCAAAGGCTTAATAAGATTTTTAAGGGCCGAATGGCTTTCAAAATCTCAGAAGGATGTAGAAATAAAACCATTTGGTCTTCATTCTAATCGACAACCAAAAAATAGTAATAGGATCACAGAAATATTGAGAACCTTGAAATAAAATGACAATGTCCCCTTGAAATGGTGGTGACCAAGAAAGGTAATTATCATAATAGGCTTAAAAGAGAACATATTCTTAATATTTCCATAGAAAAATAAGGAAAGTCCATGGCTATCTGGGATAGGTAATACATTATAATTCTAATAATACATTCATTTTACTCCCTCTCTCAGCTATTTTTTGACACAACAAAAATGTAACGGGGAAATTTTATACCAGGACTGAAAACTAGAGTCCCGATTATATAGTTGAAAAATCAAGAAGTCAGAAGAAAATTGAGCTGGTAAAAGCAGAGAGAAAACACTTCAGCCTGCCACACCCACCACATGAGAAGAACCCCACCTTGCACCATGGTTGAGAGAGAAGGTGTTGAGGGGTTTACTGCTTCTTACATATGCCTGCCCACTTCACTCTGATTCACAAACATCTCCTGTATGGTAAATGGGGCTAGAGGCCAGGACAAGCCCATAGATCAGGTGGAGGAAACCCATAGTTTGCAATCCAGGGCAATTTGAAAACAGGAGTTCCTAGCATAAGAGAAAATATTGTTGCAATCTCAGAAAAGGCAAGAGAACAGCTGTTTTTTTTCCCCCATGCTAGAGCATTTTCTAATAATTTTGCTTGGCCCTGATCTGTCACAGTATAATCAGAATCCACAACTGATGAAGGTGCAAACTGTTTATAGTCCTATAAGATTCCGTTACAGTTAGAGGTTAATTTACATAAAACGACAAGTTGTTTTGCTTTGTAGCCTGATAGAAAAGTTAACCCCAAAGGTGATATGGTTTTATTTTCTGTAAAAAGTTAAACATTCTTATGTCTAATTTAATAATCTTGTTTTTTTTCCCATTGACTATATACATCTCTAAATGTTTTTGGAACCAGCTCTTTTGTCTTCCTGCTGCTTTCCTCAATAACCAGTTAAATAAAACATTGACATATACAAACAGATGCCTTTGAGAGTTGTTGTTTTTACACTGGAAATAAAAATGTGAACAATGATATTAAAAAAAAAATAGAGGCACTGAATAGCAGGATGGACACTTTAGAAAAACAAATTACTGAGTTAGAAGACCAGATTAAATTGAACTCAGAGTAAAAACTGATATAATTTATGAGCGGTGAAGTAAAATTTTAAAAATTAGAAACGAAGTCTTGATCCAGGAGAAGACCTTATGGAGAGAGAGACCGAGAGAGCAAGGGAGAGTTGCCATTCAACAGGTATAGTTTCAGTTTTTCTAAATAAGTAAGTTCCAGAGATCTGCTGGGCAGCATGTTTTCTATAGTTAACAATAATGTGTTGTGCACTTCAAAATTTGTTAAGAAGGTAGATCTCATGTTAAGTGTTCTTAACCACAATAGAAATTGAAAATCCAGAAGGAAAGATTAGAATGGATGTGGTCAAATAAAACAATAGGAGAAAATGTCTTTGAGATAAAATAATAATAATAATAATATAATAATGATAATAATAATAATAATGATAATAATAATACAAATTTGAGTCTTCAGATCTCCTAGTGCAAGACAGAATTAAAGACCAGAACAGAACATGTCCTGGGACCAATGTTAAATTCCAGGGAGAGAGGAGGGAAGTTGGGGGGCTGGGAGAAAGGGGTGAGGGGTTAAAAAAGCACAAATTAGTAGTTGATAGATGGTCATGGGGATGGGGAGCATGGCATAGGGGATGCAGTCAGCAGTAATGGAATGGCTAGATGGAGGGCCAGAGGAGAGAAAGAGTAATTAAGGGGATCGTTTCATAAACTATATAAATGTCTAATCGATGTACTGTATACTGGAAACTAATAATAAAAAATTCTAGAGATAATGTAGAAGAATGAGCTTGTGCATTGTTTACCGGCATAAACCTAGTCAAGTAGGAAAACAGACACTTGTTAATGCCGAAAAATCCACATCGTTTTATAATGCTGGTTGAGTTATTTACAAGATCACTGAGATCATAGTAAGTTAATTATAAGAAATTTGTGAGCAAATTCAATCTCTTATGACAACTACAGTTTGTAACTTTAAGTGAACCCATATAATTTTCTGTCACAAACATATTATCAAACGTAATCTCAAGATTACAAGTCAACAATTTTTCAAAGATACATATTAAAACAAGTCTATCTCTCAATGTTATAGAAAAGCTCTGTATCCATTGCAGTAGAGTATGTAGAAACCCAGATTTATGATGATGAGATACAGATTAAATATAGACTTTCGTGTTTATTAACTGATTCTAACTATTCCTAGCCTCCTTCCTTGGCTATCTAATCCAAGGCCGATGACTGACATAGCACTCCCAGAACTCGTGGGTATTATTTCATCCATATTGCTCACCAAGACCAGGAATTTCAGTCGCATGCTTTTCTATTTTATAAGTAAGAATAAAATGTTCGAAACATCCTGTCAAGATAGACTATTTACAAAGAAGAAAGAATTAGAGTGATAGCAATGGTGGTCATCTATTTTTTGTCTACTTAGCATCCCTTCCTTTGGGAAAGTGCCCCTCTCACATTCCTACTTGGTCCATGTTTTGTGAACCAAGATTCTCTTTTGGTCCTAAGCAAAAAGTTGAGTTTCTGTCACTTGCAACCCAAAGAGTACTTTTTAAACTTCATAATTCTCTATCGCAATCTTCAATTCAACAAGACAGTAAGGAAACATTTAGAGATATGAAGAAAACATGTCCTCAATGCGATCCAAGATTCGTTCCAGCCAAAGTATGTATATCCACATATCTCTATTTTTTATGCAAACCTTTCTCCTATGTGCACCATCTAAATATCCAAGTGCCTACCGTACACCTTCCCTCGAATGTCCCACATATCATATTAATTGTCCTCTCTCCTAAATCTCCACTCATTATCTGGCATGACTATTCACCGAACCAGAAACTCAAGTGGTATCCTTGACATGATCTCTTTGGGGGAGCTTTTTCCTCCCATGAATCTTGCTCATATTGGTTGCATGGCACTCCTCCCCATGCTCTTCCAGAAGCCTGTTATCACTCTTTTGAAATTGCTTGAGGACTTTTAACTAAAGGTAGTACATTGAATGAAAGGCTTAACCTTCACTCTCTTCTGAAACTCCAATAAAATACCCATAAAATTTTTTAAAGTGGGGGATCTGCTTCATAAAGCCTTAAAGAAGAGGAGACCAGGGTAATAAAATTTTAGAAAGGAGAAAATATATAACTGGCAACTAACTTAGAAAACCTACAAAGCAGGGTCCTAGGCTGTGAATTGGGAAAGAAACAACTGGATTTGCACCACAGAACCCTCCAAAACAGCCAGGAATTGGTGGCTTTCGGTAACTCTGGAAGTGGAGGTACAAGTGAGGTGCTAAACTAAGGAAGATTACTTAAGAAACTATCAAATTAGACAATTTGAAAAGTAGTTTAATCCCATGATCTGCGATACTCTATTCAGCTCCACACAGCAACAATAGCAGAAGCGTGGAAGTGTATTCTCTCAAGAAGGTAGGAGAGAGGGTCTAAGAACTGGGTAGAGTCTGTCCTAATGAAAACAGAAAGGTCAAGCGAGAAATGCTTACTCGATCTTGTGAGCCATTAGCACTCTTTCTTTTTTGACCTCGTAGATAGGAGTTACCATAATAGCAGGAGTAATTGCCCCTGATATTCTTGAGGACTTGGGGTTGCCACTACGCAGTAGGAGCAGAAAGTAATATGCTTGGCACTCAAGTGATCCAGTAGGGTATCCAGTAGGGATCAACCAGAATCCTGGAGAAGCTGTGGCAGAATGTAGTGAATCTAAGAAATAAGTGGGTTCGGGTGGTGCAAGAGGTGGACCACAGCAGATGCTGTAGTTGCA